TTCCCTATGTCAAGCACTGTGAAAGCACATGGTGTAGCCAGTATTGTTTAATTTTGTGTCACATGAAACACATTTTGTAAATGCTTTGCAAAGCAAAATATTTTCTCATACTTGAATTAGCAAAATACATAACAATTTCCTTCTGTCTTTAAAAAACAACATTATATTCTGCTTGAAGAAAAACAAGAAATCAAACTTCAAGTATTTTAGACTTTCCACTTATAGAAATACATTTAGTTCTTAGCTTTATGGTAGATCCCAATTAACTAGAATACTTAATAACTATCTGACTTAGCCTTAGCAGTTAACTAACATTAAATTTTGGTAATGTGTAAAGCAACCAACACGCAAACCAAAAATACACAAACAATAAGAAAAAATAAGTTTCTTTCTGAAATGTAGGCTATTGAGTCTAACTGAATCTGCCAATCGAATTGAGACACATACAGATTATTAAAATGCTAAAAAGAAATTTAGAGGCAAAATACGCTAAAATTAAAATATACACTGAATGTTGTTTTCTAAAACAAATCCCTGATAAAAGGTTTTGTTGTTGGACTTTTTAAAAATTTACCTCTTTTTTTCAGATGGAGTCTTGCTCTCTCACCTAGGCTGGAGTGCAGTGGCGCGATCTTGGATCACTGCAACCTGGGCCTTCCAGGTTCAAGCAATTCCTCAGCCTCCCGAGTAGATGGGACTACAAGCATGCACCATCATGCCCGACTCTAAATTTACCTAATGAAAGTAAAATAGTGATCATTCTGTCAAAGTCCAATTTTGTATATTGTGTCTGCAGTTGTTATAACCTTTCAACAATAGCACAAGGGCTGCTGTTGAAAGCAAGAGGTCAAGTGTTCTGAGGTCCTCAGTGAAGGTGCTCGCTGCTGTCACTACTGACACCAGGCTGTCCTCACTATACAGATTTTAGAGGAGCCATTCTTCAATTACGGTTCCCATACAACCTGCCTATGGTAGCTGAAAATCTAAAGGACTAACACAAAATCACCACTCCCTTCCCTCATGTACCAATAGCCTTTGAACTTGATTTGTTGAGCTCTACTCTTTTTTCCTTCAAGATGAATTCATCAGGGGTTTTCTTTCCTGCACAAAAATATATGCTAGGAAGACCAATACTTCTGGGTCTTTAAAGATGCCCAGATTCTAGGGTTAATGTGGCTGAAGTTTAAACTAGCACCCTTGCTGCATTAACCTATCTACATCTTCTAATACAAATGCCTATTCAGGTAGTTATAAAATGCCTATTTTAATGTATGGATATTAATGGACTATTATATTTTCCTAACTGCAGCTAAGGAAATGACTGGATTCACACATCAAGTATTTATCAGGTATCTTTTATTGCACCCTTTTTTAGGCACTAGGAGTACATTAAGTAACAAGTTAGGACAAATACCCCTCAAGTAACACAGGCTTTTGCTGTAAGTTGGGGTATTCTTAAAACATGTATGAAAACTTGCTGGCAGCCTCTGATTATCCTGATTATCCAGACAACCTTTTTTTTTTTTTTAATTTTTTTTTTTTCCACCAAAAGCCTACTATAACCTACATACTTGGAACAAAGTAGGTCCCCAGTATAACTGTTAAATAAATCAGCCAGATTGTTGAAACATTCATATTATAGGAGAAATGTCCAAACTTAACATACTAACCCTTTGTTAACTCAGAAATATTCCTCTGTATATCTCTTGCTTGTGTTTCTCACTGCTTGAAGCTCAGGTAATTCCCCTTACGTCAAGTGTTTCCCTGGACAGGATACACATATATCCCCTTCAGTGCCCTTCCATCTTTCCCAGGTCCAATTACTCAAGATGGTCTTTGACTCCTTAAACCAACTGAACCTATTGATAACTTCCCTTTCAGATGGCCACAAAAGTGAAGTCTTATCCATTTCCCTTACTATGCTAACTGAACTAGGCTTTTCTTAAACTTTGGCACTTATGATTAATTTATTCTACCATTTGTTCTACCATTCATTATGATTAACTAGTTAAAAAGCACATTTGCCTTTAAAAGGACACAATTTTTAATTTGCAATACACACTATTTCAACTACTTCATAATCTGTGATAAAAAGGATATTTTTTTCTAATAAATTCTGAGTCTTAATTCACTAATTCTCAGACTGTAACAATGTCACTAATACAAATGCACATTTAGAATATTTTACGCAAACCAAATGCTATGAAGTTATACAGAAGTCAGCCATCATTTTTTTTTCTTTTTTAAAGATTCTCTATCTTTTAAAGTAAAAATTAGGCCAGGAACAGTGGCTCATGCCTGTAATGCCAGTACTTTGGGAGCTCAAGTGGGGGCGGATTACTTGAGGTCAGGAGGTGGAGAGCAGCCTGGCCAACATGGTGGAACTTCATCTCTACTAAAAGTACAAAAATTAGGTGGCAGGTGCCTTTAATTCCAGCTACTCAGGAGGCTAAGGTAGGAGAATTGCCTAAACCCAGGAGGCGGAGGTGGCAGTGAGCCGAGATGGTGCCACTGCACTCCAACCTAGGTGACAGGGCAAGACTTAATCTCGAAAAAAAAAAAAAGTAAAAATTATTTAAAGTAACCACTATATTACAGTAATAACAGAACTAAAGAGAACGTGGATATATAATATTTCGCTTAAAGGAAGAGAATTGCCACTGAATTTCAAATATGAATAAATTACTATATGAAATATAATTGCTAATCAAAATAATATTTTAAAGATGATTTCAAAGTTCATGAAGAAATATTTAAAAATATGTCCACATCTAAACTCCTGATTAGAATAACTAGGTGAAAGACTGAGCTTGAATGCAGAAATGCAGAGTATGAAGATTAAAAAAACAACAGCTTACAATATATTGATGTTTGTACAAAATAATTTATTATTCATTTATTGATCTAAAAACAGAAGTTCATTTGGAAGAATATTTCTTTATAACATCGTACATATATAAAATGTTGAGCTACTCAGGAACCTGAGGCTGGAGGATTGCTTGGGCCCAGGAGTTGGAGTCCAGGCTGGGCATACAAGCGAGAACCCATCTCTTAAAAAAGAAGTTAACAAGTTGACTCTTTGGTTTATCATTTTATCTTTTTTGTTTTAAATATTCTAGAACCCAGAATCTATCTGAATATCATGATAAAGTTATTTAAAAAAAAACAGCATTGTACATGTCACATATATAGTCAGTGTAAAACAATTCTAGTTTGCATCCCTTAGCCACAGGCACATTAAGAATCAACAGATATTCACAGAACACAGAAATATCTGTGGAACGATACTTGAATATGTGGATCTTGAGTAAAGCTGAATTCAGCCAGAATTAAACTTTTTGCATTGTTTATCTAGATGACACTAGACATCATCTTGATTAAACAAGATATTTGCTTCCACAAGTGTAGACTGATAACATATCCCCATATCTGAACACGCCCTATCAGAATTATGGCTAATCCCAAACTTGTAATAGAGGGATATCTGCGTATTTGGGATACAGGGTCACTTACAGTATTCTCTAGCCATCTGCCAAGAACTACTTTGAAATTATACCAATTTTCTTGTGTTTCTGATTAAAAACTAATGTACAGTATTACATATAGAGTAAAAACTGCATTACCAAACTTTAATATCAATGTACATCAAAGTGATATTATCTGTCCCCCAATATTAATATGGGGAGAAAAAGACAGAAAGTATATTGCCTAAAACTATTTCATCCACAAACTGTGGTGGTGTCTGTTTAAAACTTAAACAGTAGCTGTAAATTTTTTGAAGTATTATATTATTGCTCAGTCTTGTCCCTGGAGAGTTTCTTGGCCACAGAGACTTTGGAAAGTTGCTATGTACATATTCTCAAATATAGATATTTTTGAAGAAAAAAGATGCAAGAAAAACAATTTTTAAAAAACGCAGAGAAAAGTAAATCTGCTGTGCAAAAGCGTAAGTTACCTGTCAGGGGATGATGAAATAAAGCATTCTGTACTCCTCAATTCCACTTAAGAGGAAGAGCTCAGGAACTATTTAAAAGGATGTTTCCATAAGCTATCTATATTTCCTGAAATTAAGGAAATTTCTGTACAAAAAGGCAATAGGCTTTTGGTTGTAATTAAACATGATTAAACTTCTACTCTTTATATAATTTCAATTTTAAAGTTACATTGCACTAAATTTCAGGGCTTTCCATTTCAGAACTGCCTAATGGCTCATTATCCTAATTCCCCATCCAATACTAACAAAGAATGGGTAATAACAAAGTCAGTCTAGTTTGGTTAACTGTGGGTTCGGGCCTTTGTTAGGTTTTCTTTTCCTGTCATATTTTCTCCTGCTATGTTTTCTTTTTCATGGTTTCTAAACACTATGGAAAATTATTTTAATGGCATAGAAATTTTATACCATTATTTTAATTATTTTAATGAGATACATATAAAAATTTGTCTGAATCTTCCATTTTTAAAACAACAGTATACTGCTCCACACAGCAACTTATAATGTATTAAGTAATATATTTAAAGTGATGTAAAAACACTTCACACTTCTCACAGGATGCATTGCTTCTTGAATCTGTTCTTTGTGAATGAAGCAAAGTCAAGTTAAAGTCTCTGGAACAGATATGGAGCTTATACTTCATTACTGTAAGAAAGACAAAGGGTATCTTATAATCTGAATATCATCCTCAAATCATGGACGAACTAGCCCAGTACAACTTTTCATTTTCCCAATGATATTCTTACAAAAACACTATGCAGTCATATAATATTTGGCACAACTTAAAGAAGAGCAAGACCTGTAATCCCAGCACTTTGGGAGGCCGAGGTGGGCAGATCATGAGGTCAGGAGTTCAAGACTAGCCTGGCCAACATAGTGAAATCCTGTCTCTACTGAAAATACAAAAATTAGCCAGGTGTGGTGGTGTGCACCTGTAATCCCACCTACTCAGGAGGCTGAGGCAGGAGAATTGTTTGAACTGGGGAGGCAGAGGTTGCAGTGAGCCAAGATCATGCCACTGCACTGTAGCCTGGGAGACAGAGCAAGACTCCATCTCAAAAGAGAAAAAAAAAGGAGCAAGAATTTTTGCAAGAAGGACCCCTTCGCATTGTCATGCCAATCTGACAAAAATTTAGGCAGAAATTTACATTTCTAAAAGCTTTTACACAAAAGAAAAAGGAGGGGGAATCCATTCAGATTTTCTAAATTCCTACTGGTTTGTTCTAAATGTGAAGTAAGGAATGACTATAAAAAATCAGCAGCCTATGGGTAAGAGGGGGACAGCTCCCTGGGTCCAGTGTAGAGAGAAGCACATCCCAGACCGTTTTCAAAGGCTTAGGAAAATAAATTCCTACGAATGTCATTATACTACATGAGGCTGATACTTTGCAAACACTTCAGGCAAGAAAAAAAAAAAGTTTAAAAGGTACTGCTGTTGCCCAAACAGCTGTACAATGCAACAGAGAAAAATTAATATTAATAAAATATAACAAGTTATCCTGTAGAATTTAAAGTTAATCTTAGAAAAAGGCTTTGTCCCATTTGCTTATATTTTTGAAGATATGAAAATATTATAAAGACATATTATAAAGGGTTACTGAGGGTAGTATGACCTTTTTAAAAGGAAATGGTTAAAATCCATACACCATACACCATACATCATCCACGAAAGTTTCTAAGTAAGACTTAAAATCTTCAGTCTAAAGAAAATGATTTAAATACACCTGTTATTTTTACCATTACCACTTACAAATCATGTGTTTACAGAGAAATTCTATCTACAGCAGACCCTAACTTTATCACACAGGAAAATAACTTTATACAAGGACACTGGTAAACATAGATATCATACCCATAATTCTGTCCTTAGGAAAATCTATTGGCATGTTACAAAGACTGTCCACAATTTTCTTTGGACAAATATTTATAGCCTCATTCATTTTGCATTTCAATAGCTATTTATTTTTGTGTATAAAGTTTCCAAACTTTTGCATAAATCCTCGAAACTTGTTCTCATTGGGTTGATACGAGCGATAAACACCAGTGTTGTAATTAAGCATTGGACTAGACCTGCCATAACTGTTGCTCACAGTCGCAGATTTTATTTCTGGGCGATTTATACTGGTATTTGGCATGTTGCTTGTTGGCTGAATAGAGCTCTCAATCTTACAAAACGGCTCAAAACGACTGTAAACACGCCTATCAGTTGAATGAGATCGTAGAAGCTCATTGGACGTTGGCCTTGGAGAAGAAGTTGGTCTTCTTTCAGGAGTAACAACTGCATTAATCTCCCTTGAGTCTCGGTATTGGATCTGTTCAGTGTTAAATCTTGGGGCAGAGGCATCTCCTGCTCTTTCCAACAACTTGCTTTCAACTGGACCTGGAGAAGGTGTTCTTTTATTTTCATCTGATGGAGCATTTATCTCTTGAGATGGACTAACTGTTACATCTTCCTTACTCTTGTGGATGCTGCATTGAGAATTCGATGAGGAAGAATGTTTTCTTCTAGGAGATGAATCAACTTTTGTGTCTGATTTCTTTGGTTTTTGATTTTCTTCACCCTCAGAAACTAATGTGTCAGAGCTACTACACAATCTATAAAAGGCAGGTGCTTTATTTTTGGATAGATTTTCTTTCTTATCTGGGGTAAGGCTAAGTAATGACCTTAACTTCTGAGACCCCTTCTTCAAAAAACTTGGGGAACCCTTAACTTCCTTCTTTGAAGTGAGTTCTTTGTTGGATTCCTCTTTATTCACATCAAGTAAAGCAGCAATGGAAATTGACTTGGTAGTAGTGCTACTTGGAGGGTTTTCCTTGGTGACTTCCTCCTCATCCTCCTCCAAGTTATGAGTCACGTTGTGCATGCTTTTAGAACTTTTCAGCAAATCTTCTTTGGGCTTTTCTGGTTGTCTAACTCGATTCCTGGTAAGTGTACTATATACATAATGCTTACTATTTCCAGGATCTAAGTTGGCTCTTGAGTTGTCAAATAATGGGAAACTTCGCCTTTTAAGTAGATTCTCAGTCTGTTGATTCTTTAGATTTTCTGTCTGCTTATTTACACACAAGGTTGTATATATATAGTTATTTGATTCAGTATGGCCATTTGTAGTTTGGTTTAAGGCTACTGAGTGGTTTTCAGGAACCTGCAAGGTGTGCATTTTTGGTGCCTCTGACTGCAATGGGAGCTTGGGGACTGATTCTGGCAAGGGTTTGTCTGTCAAATGCTGTACATTTGTAGGGGTGTCTGGGACCTCTTTAGGTGTCTCACTTCCCTGAGAACCAATGATAGTTGAATTTGAGGAGCAAGTTGTACAACTGTTAACTTCCTTTTGCTCAGGTAAAGTGGGTTTAAATACTAAAGAGGAACGAAGCCGAGAATGAGTATAAAGGGCATTAGCCTTCAAATTCTCAGGATTATCATAGCCCTCAAATCGGTCACCTAAAGCTGATCCATTTGAGTCTGGTATAGCTTCTGAATGATCATTTAAGTAGGATTCAATTCTCCAGTTACGTAGGAATGACTTTGTGGTATGTTCAAGAGTTGGCATTCGTTGTTGCAAAAAGCGGATATGGTTATCTGTTCCATTAAAAGACCTCCGAACATTTGAATTCCTGTCTGCAAGATTTGTTGTTTTTCTCTGTGCAAGCCGATTGGCAAAACTCTGGGCGGGTGCATTGTGGTGGCTTGCATAGCCTTCCCGTGATGAGGACGCCACACTGAGACTATCAGATGGCTTTTTCCAATTACCAGGTGGATTATTGGTTCTATTCAGAGCTCTATTAAGCAGGAGGTATGGCACTGTTTCCGGCTGTTCCCCAGCATAACTATGTCTTTTCCAATTTTCATTTATCTGACTGGGTTGGAAGTGACGTATTGTGTTTGGACCATTAAAGTTTGGAACAAAATGAGGTTTGTATCCGTGACTTCTTATGTTATATTTGTCATGTTCATTTAAAGTATATATCCCTCTGTTTTTGAAGTAACTAGAATCTAGTTTATGAATCTTGTCTTGTCTACCAAAAAGGTTTCTTTGGCTGGAAACAGATGCTAATGAAGAAACCGAATGTTGGTAAGTGCCATTTTCCCAGAGGGCTTTGCCATGCTTCACCCTTGCTGATTCTTCCTGAGCAAATGAACTGGGGACACAGGATCTGGCATAGAGAGTTCTAAATTCTTCATCAAAGGACTCAACAAGTTGTCCTGTAATTATCTGAACCATGCTGAGGTGAGCTTTCTCAAATGACCACATATAGCTGGGGAAAAAAATGGAAAAATTTTAATCATTTAAGTTAAAAGATTGATAATAACATATAGTTCTACTAGAAAAAGTAAAACTTAATGACTGAAATATGTTTTTGTACTTTTCTTTGGCTACCATTATTTAGAATATTTACCATCATTACATGCACTACATGTCTTCCCATCCTCATATTCACATTTTAAATATCAATGCAACTCAAATTATGGCTTTGAATTCACTACTTCCCAGAAGTCCAAAGAAAAACTTGCTGTGCATTTTCAAAAGCAATCTGTACATTCAATGCAATTCCTATCAAAATACCATCATCATTTTTCACATAAGAAGAAACAATCCTAAAATTCATATGGAACCAAAAAACAGCCTGCATAGCCAAAGCAAAACCAAGCAAAAAGAAGAAATCTAGAGGCATTAAATTACCTGACTTCAAACTATACCACGAGGCTATGGTTACCAAAACAGCATGGTACTGGTGTAAGAATAGGCACATACACCAATGGAATAGAATAGAGAACCCAGAAATAAAGTCAAATACCTACAGCCAACTGATCTTCAACAAAGCAAACAAAAACATAAAGTATGGAAAGGACACCCTATTCAACAAATGGTACTGGAATAATTGGCAAGTCACATGTAGAAGAATGAAACTGGATCCTCATTTCTCACCTTAAGCAAAAATCGACTCAAGATGGATCAAAACCTTAAATCTAAGACCTGAAACCATAACAATTCTAGAAGATAACATCATAAAAACTCTTCTACACATTGGTTTATGCGAAGAGTTCATGACCAAGAACCCCAAAACAAATGCAACAAAAACAGAGAAAAATAGATGTAACCTCATTAAACAAAAAAGCTTCTACACAGCAAAATAATCATCAGAGTAAAGAGAAAACCCACAGAGTGGGAGAAACTATTTGTGAACTATGCATCCAACAAAGGACTAATATTCAGAATCCACAAGGAACTCAAATTAGCTAGAAAAAAACCAAATAATCCCACCAAAAGTGGGACAAAGACATGAACAGACAATTTTCAATAGAAAATACAAATGACCAACAAAAATACAAAAGAAAATGCTCAACATCACTAACTATCTGGGAAATGCAAATTAAACCCACAATGAGGTGCCACTTTACACCTGCAAGAATGGCCATAATTAAAAAATCAAAAACTAATAGACACTGGCATGCATGCGGTGAAAAGAGAACATTTTTACACTCCTGGTGGAAATGTAAACTAGTAAAACCACTATGGAAAACAGTACAAAGATTCCTTGAAGAACTAAAAGTAGAACTACCATTCAACCCAGAAATCCCACTATTGGGTATCTACCCAGAGAAAAAGAAGTTGTTTTATCAAAAACACTTGCACATGCATGTTTATAGCAGCACAATTTGCAGCAGCAAAAATATGGAACCAGCCTAAATGCTCATCAACCAACAAGTGAATAAAGAAAATGTGGTATATATATATACCATGGAATACTACTCAACCATAAAAAGGAACAAAATAATGGCATTTGCAGCAACCTGGATGGAATTGGAGACCATTATTCTAAGTGAAGTAACTCAGGAATGGAAATCCAAATATTGTATGTTCTCACTTATCAGTGAGAGTTAAGATATGAAGATGCAAAGTCATAAGAATGATATAATGACTAGAAGGAGAGGGTAGGAGAGGGGTGAGGGGTAACAGATTATACATTGGGTACAGTGTACACTGCTTGGGTGATGGGTGCACCAAAATCTCAGAAATCACCACTAAAGAACTTATTCATGTAACCAAAAGCCAACTGTTCCCCAAACACTAATGAAATAAATAAATAAAATAGAACATTAAAAAAAAATAAAGAAAAACTTGCTGTGTATTTTGCAAGTATACAAAACTTTGTGGCATAAAAACTGATATTATATTTCATATATACCATCTTGGCAGAATGCAGTAAAGCCAGTGTTGGAGAAAAAGTCGAGAGGCCTGGCTTCTGCTGAATTGTAGACACATGAGCTTGGGCTTCACTTTCCTCGTGTCCAACGTAAGGATACGGACAGCATAATAGCTACAATGCCTTATAGCTCTAACATGATATAATGTAAGATACAGCTGTGCTAATGCATTTATTTTAAGAGTCTATAAGTTTTCAGACTGCTATCTCTGTGTGGTTTACTTAATAAGTGTAATTTAGGATGCCAAGAGCTGTAAACAGGATTTGTGGCCAGCTGCCTCAATCATTAAAGAGCAGACTTCACTGTACTCGCTGTACACAGTATTAGTAAATGTAGGCCTCAGAAACCATGCCAGTCAAAATGGCAATCAAGATCTTTTAATATAAAATACAATTTTTAGGAAATTAATGTTTATATGACTTTATAGTACTTTATGGAAGCTCCAATTCCTTTCCTAGAGTTTAGAGGTAACAGCTATCTTTAAACTTCATATCAAATTTTAAACCTCATTTTTGAAAATCTAATGATTTAATACACAGTCTCTGAGCTGAAAAATAAATTATGCTATGCATCAAGTAATGTATATGACACAATGGGGATTAATACAAAAGAAAAAAGAGACACTCTCCACATTGAAGCATCTTATTTCTATAAAGGAGACAAAAAATGCAGAAAAAATAATTAAAAGAATGTGCAAACATTTAAAATATATAAAATATTACATATCACACACAGGAGCATGTAATTTAAGAAACTTCTTATTTGGATATGCTTAATTTTATCTAGCATGCCTACAGGAAGCATGATATAGGAGGAATATTGATTATGCCACTGGGCTGACTTAAAAGAAACGGTACAAAAGTAAGTAACTAAAGAAATTTTCAATCTGACCAAAGGTATGAATACAAAATATTAGAAACAGCAAGTAATAGAATGAACAGTCAACTATCAAGTATGAGGAAATCCATGAAGAAAGTGAAGTTTTGCAATATTTTGATAAATACTAGATTCCCAGTTCAGACACAAAAGATGTGGGAAGACAATTTGTGTGGAGGGAGTAATATGGAAAAGGGAAGAATGCAGTAAGGGTCATGTTCTAGCTGAACACAGAAAACATACTATATATAGCTGGAGCAAAGAAGCCTTATAAGAGACTGATGAACTAGTGGGGAAAATCTTGAAAACAAAACAGAAAGTTTGATTACATAGAATTTGTTTCCAAATTTGGATAAATTATAATAGAAAGAACTGTCTGAGGAACTATTTTTTTCCAGCAGCTATTTGTAGTACTATTGCAGTATAGACTTAAAAGAGCCCAACGAAAGTAGAAATTGGAATAATGAGTGAAAATGTTGAGCCAGTAGTAAGAAGAAAGAACCAAAAGATGTCATGTCAAAAGAATATCCATACGTTATTAAATAAAAACAACTTCCAAGTGTTGAGGTTAGGAAACTGAGAAGATACTGGTATTGATGAATGTGTGGCAATTGGAAAAGTTTCCCTGGTATAGTAAATCAGAAAATAATATTGTAAAAACATTTCAGGCAACAGGAAGAAAACCTACAGACATGCTTTGGGGCTTGGAAATGAATCTCTATGTTCCTCTGTTATCATAGGTGATTTCTATGCCATTAACTACCAAGTCTGTATTGTCAGTGCTGACCTCTTCCTCATCTCTGGAATCAGTGTTCAATCTCTACTCAAAATTTTAGTGGGCCTTGCAAACCTAACATGTATGACTCGTAAGTTGTCATCTAGCACTCCTCCTTCCCCGACCTATTTCTTCCCTAGTATTACTTATTTAAGTCAGTGACTCAACCATCTTTCAGGTGATCAAGACAGGAAACAAGCAGCCATCTTTGAATACCCTCTTTTTCAGAACCAAAAGGTCCTGTTGACTCTGCTTGCAAAACCTCTCATAAATCAATCCTATCCCACTATCACCCTAGTCTTAGCATTATCAGCTAATTTGACTCTTAGCATCCTCATTTGCTCATTTTTCAATCAACAGAACAGCAGAAGTGATCTTTGCATAAAACAAATTGGGTCATGTCACACTTCCACACAGCACTTTCTATTTTGTTTAAAAGAGAATTTAGACTCCTTACCTGGCCTAAGATAATTCCTCCCCTGCTTGCTTTCCAATTCTACTACGGATAGCTCTTCCCTTGATTAATGTGGTCCTACCATATTGGCCTTTCTGCTTATCCCCCAGATATCTACTCCAGGATCTTTTATCTATTGTTCCCTCTTCAATACATCTCTTCTCTCTGACAGTCCTGGGCTGACATGCTCTTAGAATACATCTATGATCACTCTTTTCAAAGTATCCATCTGATTATGCTTTATCATATTCTCCTGATTTCATTTATGCAATACCCCATTACCACTATCTGACATTTCATTGCATGTTCTCCCTTTGTTAATCATCTATCTCCAATGCCCCACTAAAATAAAATTTAGCTCAACAATCTTGTATACCTTATTTAGGACTGCATTCCTAGGTGCTAAGAATGGTGCTTGGCATATTGTAAACACTTAAAAACATTAGTTGTAAATAAACAAATGACAATATAAATGAATTATTAGTTTCAAAATCAAATAAGACTAAAAGGCAAAGATGTTTATGTTGGTGGAAAACTTAAAAGGTTTACATTAAATCCGGATTATCATGCACGTTTATTTCTTTTTCTTCCCTACACACTACTAAAAAGATAGCAAAGGGAAAAGGGAAGTAGCAAGTGAAAGTATTTAATACAAGTTTAGAATAGAGAAATCTGATGGAGAAGTGGTGGCTGACTTAGAGGAAGTTTGCATGAGGTGAGCACCAATGAGAATAAGCCAGGTGGGCCCAGCAGAATCTATGAATTCAACATTGGATCAAAAGGTAATAAAAATGGTGGGTTAGAAAGGTCATGAAAATAGAGAAACAGGAAGATTGACTGAAAGTCCCATACAGAGCAGTTGGGCCTCCAGGTTCCCTACTCTTTCCTTTCCCATGAAGCACTCCTTGTTATGCCTTTCAGAAATCCTAAGGTTTACTTCAGCA